TTGACTCCAGGAGAATCAAAGAAATGCAACATAAAAATCCTTATAATACATATGGAGTGTAAAGATTACCTCTCTCCCAACTACAGGAATGGAATTCATTTTTTTTACTGAGTTCCTTGATAATGAAAGAAAGCACTAAACAGAATAAGTCTAAATGCAATTTTACTTCTAATATTAATAAATCACACATACTCGATGAGATGCAGTTTTAAATGGTTCTGTATGACTCAACCTCTCTATCAACATAAAGGAATTCAATAGAGCTAGGTAAAAAGGATTTAGTTGGAATTCTCAAATTCAATATTGGGTTCTCTTAGCTTACAGAACACGATGGGCAGAGCGCTTTCTCTGCTTTTGTTCCACCACTTCCACATCCTGTTTATAAAAGTTTAATTTCAGTGTAATTATAGGAGTTAATCCACTGAACAATAAGTGCCTAATTCCACACATTTTCTTGGTAACTCAGGAAAAAGTCGACTATGTCTTTTGTGACTATATCATAGTGGCATAGTGATAATCATAGAATGACCAATCTAATCAACTATCTCCTTTACAATGGTTAGAAGAAAGATCCAATTTATTAAAATGTGAAATCACAGGCAATGTATTGGTCATGGTCTATGAAGTATAGTCATCTCTTAATTATTTGAAGCATAGAATAGAAATTTGCTCTTTATAAAATTATTTTTAAAGAGGAGAAGAGCATTTCTAATAGTGATTTCCCTTCTTCACATTATTTTCATATTAATGCCTGTCAAAGGCTTTGAGTCAAACAAATGTGTTCAAATCTATAATCAACTACCAGTATGATGCTGGAGAAGCATCTCATCTGTAAAATAAGAGTGATATTATTACCCTTCTGGCAGGATTATGTGAATTATAAAGGAAATGAGATAAGCTTTTAACACGGTACCTATCACAGAGTAAGTACTCAGTAAGGGGGGATTAGAAAAACATTCCTGAAACATTACACTAATAACAAAAGTGACAACAAGAATAATGATACTGCAGTAAACATTTACATGAATTATCTCACTTAATTTTAAAACAATACCATAAGATAAATACTACTGTTGCCCCCATTTTACAGATGAGGAAAATCAGACTTAGAGGGCTTAAGAAACTTAACGTCACACAGTTAATAAAAGATAAAGCAGACGTTGAATAAGTAAAAGTAGTGGCTATTCTTATCATATTGTCCTCATCATCACCATCTCAACCCATCCCATAGCAGACTAGGCTGTAAAAATGAGTTCTTGGGTACTTCCAAAGATAATTGCCTCCCCTTGGAAGGAATCCAGAACAAGCCCACATTAAGCTAAATTCTGCATTAGAGTGGGCTGTTATACAGTTGGGAGGATTTATTCCAAGCACCTAGAAGACACATGAAAGACGAATAGAGAGAATTTGTCAAGTTTTCCTTTATCTTTAAATATATCTCAACGCAATGAAGGAAAAGAGGAAAAAGTCATTTTGTCTGTACACAAAGGTATTTTTAAACACCATGACAATTAGCTCATCTGATTGTCAGTCCCTAGGAAATCAAACACAGAGTCAAAGATAGGTATGCACACCTCACATGAAATATGACCCACATTGTTAATGAATGATAAAAGTTAAGGAGATATTAGTGTAAATGTATGAGCCTACAATGAGGGGGTTGAAAATGAAAGGGTAGTGTTACTCAAGTTGAATTCTATAAAGGTCTTTATTCAAAATTATTCACTCAGTACATTTCCTCTGTCTATATAACTATTAAAAATAAATGTAAAGTTGCAGTATTTTGGATATACATTAATAATGAACGTACATTTTCCTAACAAAAATTTCAGTGACTTATGATCATATGTGTGTAGTCATTTTAAAACATTCATATAAAAGATGAAAATTAATAATTTCACAGAAACATCATAATATTTTCTTTAAGTAAATCACAAAAAAACAAAACATACTATTAATATAAATACATTTTCATTATTTTTTCAAAAACCTACATAAAATGTTCCAGATTTTTAGTAATAGGAATTTGTAATATACTTCAAATGACTTTTAACGTTTATTTTCATAGTTGTCATCAATAGAGTCAGACATTAAAAGTATGCTATGGTTTTTCTTTTAATCCAATTTAAAAATATGACTGTTAAGAATACACGCTGTTCACTAATAAATATAGAAATAGTGTAAAAATTGGAAGAATTAAAACTCTAGTTATACTTGGAGATTTAATATCCAAATCGATATTTGGAAGACTTCATACATAAAACCAAATACCAGTCAAGCATTTCATAACAAGACTGTTAATGGAAAATCACTCAAATGTAACATCTGATGACTAGGGAAACACACCCGCAGCCATCAGATTGTCGAGTTTCCACATCTCAGTACTGTACTACCTCCTACATGACAATCACATTCCTCCCATGCTATGTAGGAATGAAATCGAAAGCAAGACCTCACCACCCCCAACTACTTATCAGCAATCCTCCTTTCACATCTTGACATACTTCAGAGTATATTTCAGATGAAGATCATGGACCAGGAAGGATATTCTTTCAATGGACTTATTTCCCCTCTTGTTTATCATATCCTCTTCATGGGGCTCTCCGACTCAAACCTGGGCAAGCAATGAAGGAGGAGAGACAATTGATTAAAAGGAATGGGACAGGGAAGAAGCCAGGGATTTTTATTGCCTAAGAGACTCTATATTTTAAATAGTCACTTGAGTTTATATATGCCCAGTTAACTAGTCGTCATCTTTCTAGCTATGATTGTTTTAATTAGTGGAAATTGTTTTAATTACAGTTGAAGCCCAGTTGAAAATTTGGGGCCCCTTGCTGTTGAGATGAAATGTGGAGTCAGAAAGATCCTGGTTTCAATCTCTTCTTATACTCCTTCACATGTAGCTGGAAAGTTAGTTAGTAGCTGTGAGCCTCTGAGTTGAGATCCGTAACTAAGGATGACAATACTTACCTCATGGGACCATTGTGAGAATTCAGATGTTTAGTTTGGGCATGACACTTAAACAGTGGTTACTGTTATAATTACTTCTACAGGGTACTACTAACCACAACTGAAGTCCAGGGTCCTGGTGGCTGTGCTGAGGACCTGCAAGCCCCAGTCACCTTTTATCAACCTCTGATTACCTGTCCAAGATCTCCTTTGTCCCCCAAAGCTGTCATTCTCCTCTGAAAGTTTTCCTCCTTCCTCACCACAATCTGTAAAGCTAGGGTAGACCTTTACTGCTAACCATTTGATTAAAGTTATTCACACTAAGGTATGAATAAGCCTTAGCAGAATTGTGGACTCTTGCCTTCTTCAACGCCCAAATAATCTATCATTGAGATGTTGGGGGAATTTTTCTCTCTATGTAAGGGAAAGCTCTGCTATCTTAAAAAAAATTAATAACACAAGGCCTAAACATAATAATGAACTATTTACCAGTATAATTTTAACTCCTCCATATTTTCTGTATGGAAGAGTTCTTTATAGGGGCAAAAGTTAGCCAAATGGATAACTGTTAAAAGAACCATAACCTATAAATACTATTCTGTTTTTTACAATTCACTGAAGTTGCTCTTTTATTCTCAGAGGAAAAATGTCAGTTCCTCAAGGATAGAGATCTTATCCGTTTCTTCATGGATCTATCCAAAGCACCCAGAGGAGTGGATGCTCAAGAAACGTTTGTTGAAAGATCAGGGAAAATATATCATTAAACTCTTGTTACTCTTTAGAAACTTGCAAAAATAAATAAATAGATAAAAGCAACCACATTTTGATTTACTTAAAAATCACACAAAAATAATATGTCCCAAGTATTGTGTTTTTATTAAAACCTGCAATTTTACTGTGGAAGTTAATGAGGCCCGTGAAGTAGACGACAGTTGGAGGTCCCACAGCCAGTTGGCAAAACCAGAACTGACCAGTCACATTTCAAGCCAATCTATGAAAAAGCTCTCCCTTCTGTGTCTGCTCAAATCTTTATTTTTCCTAAAACTCTTACAAGGAAAAAAGGGGAACGAGTCTGGTTCACTCTCTCTTGCAGACCTTTGAAAAATGCAAGATTCCCAGATGCTTACCGGAAATGAGAAAACCTTGAACCACACCACTCAAAGCAGTTAATATAATTGCCCTAACCCTGAGTTTAGCAGACTTACGCAACTGGAAAATTTTGTTCTTGAGCATTTGTGAGCGCATAGATTCAGGGAAATAGGCATCTAATACTACAGGAATCCTTGAAGTGTCTTCAGGATGAATATAATATTCAGAGTCACGGAGCGCCTCACTTCCTCCTCCGGTCTCACCTCCCTTCGCTCCCTGCATCCCCCACAGCTGGTGCTGGGAACCGCGAACGGCTCGGAGCTGGCGCGGGCGGGGGCGGCCACTCTCCGCGGCAGCCTGGGGGCCAGAGCCAGGAGGCGGGTGGAGATGAGGCGAGGCGAGGCGACGAGCGCCGGCGAAGAGCTTGGACCAGAGCAGTTTTCCTCCTGGATCTGTCAAGCCAGACCTCACGTGTAGACGAGTAGGATCAAAGGAAGGCTACGTAACCAGCGGCGCCCACTGAGCGCAGCCCAGACGTGCCCCCAGCCGCAGGTGAGTCACCCTGCCCTCCTCCCCAGCCCCGCCTCGTGTCCAACAGGTTGGCCAGGGCGCGGCTCCAAGGGGCCCTGTGGGTACACTTCTAGTCTCACCTGGGCAGGGTGCTTGGCTTATCTCTTTGCCATGCCGTGGTTGCTATTCAAACTCCTGCCCCAGCCCACGCCTGTTCTAGTCCTTGTCTTTTTGCCTTCCCTTTTCCCAAAATGAGAGCTCCGCTATGTGACAGGGACCGCGCTTGCCACACCTGCTCTCTGGGAAACTTGCGGCGACAAAAATGGCTAAGAAGGGTACACAGTGCCCCCACACGCGGCGGGGCTGGCAGTGGTGACCCCTCGTTCTTAGTGACTCCCTGGGATTTCCATTAAAAGTCGTCATTAATTATCCTTATTTCTCAACCAGGAGGTCAAAACCTGAGGGAGGAGAGAGAAGAAAATGGAGCGTGAGTGACAATCAGACTAGAATGAGAGTGAATGGGAGCAAATGCTGCAGCCCCGTCGCCCAGAGCACCGTCCCCCACGTGCTCACACCCCCAGCGAACCCTCCCGGGGAGACCTGTGAAGGCTCTTTTAAATAAAAGAAGACGGAGGAATACATATCCTCAAGTTGAAAGGGACTCAGCCCGGTTACCACTTCCGTCTGCTTTCTGAACTTTTCGTTTTGGTCTCCTGCGGGCAGGAGTGAGTCTTGCCAACCCCCTTGCCTTTGGCTGAGAGTCATCTTGTCCTCCTCCGCTCTAGGCTTCCCTCCTCCCTCCCCTCCCCACCCGCTCCACCCCCCTAGTAGGGAGGCTTTCAGTGCCTACACCTCCCGAGCTGGGGACCTCAATTACAAAGTTGGGAGGGAGTGCGTAAGTCCGGGAAGGTCCACGGCGACCGGCAGCGTGCCCTGCGGCTGTCCTCGGCTTGGACCACACCTGAGCATCTCCCTGGGCGCGACCCCGGCTCTCCTCCCAGCCTCCGCGCTCAGGCACCCGTGCGCTGCTCCCGCGCGCTCGCAGCTCCACAGCGGCGAGAGGGGGAAGGAGGACAAGGGGTGGAGAAAGTCGGGGTGCGCGGGTGGTAGGCATCTCCCTCCCCTCGGGAGCCCGGGAAATCCCGGCCGCCACCAGGGGCCGTGCCACCACCCTCGCGGGACCGAGGCTTCCGGCGCGCCCCCAACTTTGTGGCACCCCCAGGCAGCAGCGGCTGGGATGGAGCTACCTCCCCGCGGCCGGGCTCCGCCCGACTCACCGCTGGACAGCTGCTCCCTGACCTCGCTGGAATCCAGCGTCTTCTGCAGCGAGGGCGAAGGGGAGCCCCTGGCGCTCGGGGACTGCTTCACGGTCAACGTGGGCGGCAGCCGCTTTGTGCTCTCGCAGCAGGCGCTGTCTTGCTTCCCGCACACGCGCCTTGGCAAGCTGGCCGTGGTGGTGGCCTCGTGCCGGCGCCGCGGGGCTCTAGCCGCCGTGCCCAGCCCCTTGGAGTTCTGCGACGACGCCAATCCCGTGGACAACGAGTACTTCTTCGACCGCAGCTCTCAAGCGTTCCGCTACGTCCTGCACTACTACCGCACCGGCCGCCTGCATGTCATGGAGCAGCTGTGTGCGCTCTCCTTCCTGCAGGAGATCCAGTACTGGGGCATCGATGAGCTCAGCATCGACTCCTGCTGCAGGGACAGGTACCCTCGAGGCGCGCAGCGGCTGGGCGGGGAGGCGGGTGCGGTGCTACAGTGGAGAAAGGGCGGCACAGGCTTTCCCCAAGCCTCGCTCAACCCAGGCCTAGAATGCCTGTGGCCTCTCGTGAGCTGGAAGCGGGGGCGCTGGGGAAGAGGGCGGCTGGAAAGCATCAAAGCCAACTTTTAGATTGGAACTCCTTCGAGCGAATGTATGCCAATTCATTTATAAGGCAAGGGAGGTCAGGCCTGTAATAAATATTTGGTGACTGAATAAATGAGTCAGAAAAGCTATGTTCCAAAAGATGCATGTACAGGGATGTAGGTTTCAGTATGGAGCATTATCATTTATCAAACCTAGGACACTAACTTGAAAAACCTGGACAGAGAACTGCTTTAAATACAGAAGATAGAAAGTTGGTTCCTTCACTGTGAGTGATGGTGGGACTTTGATGATGATTTTGCTATTTTCTTGCTATTACTACCATTTCTTCATGAACACCTTTCCATTACACACAAAAGAGTTCCATATGGCCAACTTCTGTTCTTGTTAGAAGAAAATGGGTAATAAAATGCATTAATCTGAAGTTACTTTGCTATACATAAATTCTTTTTTATAAATTGCTACCGAGAAAGTGTCATTTTAAAAATAAGCAGGAGATAATCCGGGTAAAATAGGAATGGACATTTTCTGCATTTTACTGAAATAAAAGGCATGACCTCACTGCCAAGTTTAATTCTCGTTTTACTTCTGCATTTTAAAAAAGTTAAACTAATCACCAAGTTGTCTTCTCTAAAAGATACTTCAGAAGAAAGGAGCTGAGTGAAACTTTAGACTTTAAGAAGGACACAGAAGACCAGGAAAGTCAACATGAGAGTGAACAGGACTTCTCACAAGGACCTTGTCCCACTGTCCGCCAGAAGCTCTGGAACATCCTGGAGAAACCTGGGTCTTCCACAGCTGCCCGAATCTTTGGAGTCATCTCCATCATCTTCGTGGTAGTGTCCATCGTCAACATGGCCCTGATGTCAGCCGAGTTAAGTTGGCTGGACCTGCAGCTGCTGGAAATCCTGGAGTACGTGTGCATTAGCTGGTTCACCGGGGAGTTTGTCCTGCGCTTCCTATGCGTGCGGGACAGGTGCCGCTTCCTGAGAAAGGTGCCAAACATCATAGACCTCCTTGCCATCTTGCCCTTCTACATCACTCTTCTGGTAGAGAGCCTGAGTGGGAGCCAGACCACACAGGAGCTGGAAAACGTGGGGCGCATCGTCCAGGTTTTGAGGCTGCTCAGGGCTCTGCGCATGCTAAAGCTGGGCAGGCATTCCACAGGTATTCAGATTTCATTGATTCTTTTTAATTTGCCGTTGTTTGTAACATTAGTGCTTTGACCACGGTTGAAGGGAAGCACTCTCTGAACTGATTTTCAAAATTAGTAACTCCCGTACTTTATCCAACCATGATTTCCAAACAGGTATTGGAAAGCCAAACCTTGAAGTTGTTATCACAGGTATAGAGAATAAGATGTGTCTCACACATTTTCCTTCCCTAAGACATTTGAGAAACAATTTGACCATTTGTTAACCTCAGTTTACCTTGACCTAGGGCTCAGAAGATGTACAAAAATTAAAGAAACTCTGCTTCTAGAAAGTTCTAGATAAAATATGCATAAACAGCACATAAAAATATACACATAAATTATATATAATATATAGGGACGTAAGTCAGTTTCTCTTCTGTGTCCAAGGAAGTGCTTACCACACATGTTTCCTGGCAGAAGAAAAAGTCAGTCCTCCATAGACTTCTCTGGCTTTGCAAAGAGAGATGACCAGGCACCGGTGGCCTTTCCATAATTTTTGAAGGAGCAATGGAAATATCTGCTTTGAAAGAAAGCAGAAGACACTAATTAAATGTTTCATCTAGTATCTGAGAATTTTCTTGTCCCTAATCTGGGATGCATGAGAGAGAGATGGTGACAGGAATTAATTTGCTTTTTGTGTGTATCATAAAACCTTGAAAATCTAATGAACATTCTCCCTAGAAAAATCTCCACACAACACACGAACCCAATTGTACATGAAAATCATAGTCAAAGTCAGGGGAAATCACATAAATCCACTAAAAATGATCCTTGCATCCCAAGGGCAGTGATTCTCAGTGGCTGGCCCTGCAGCCGTTGGGTTTTCTGGAGTACATTGTGTTACCTTATGTTTGACTATAATGAAAATAAGAATCCCTTGAAAAGCTTGTTAAAATGCAAATTATGAGCCCTGATCCATAGAGAGTTAGATTTTAGTATTTGGGGTTGGATCCAGGAGCATACATTTTAACAAGCTCACAAGTGACTTTGAAATAGGTGGTCCTACACTTGGAGAAACACTGCCATATTAATACAATGCATATTAATGCAATACATCGGAATACAAATAATTTGGCTAACAGTTTTTTAACTACCTTATTTCCTGAGATATGTTCCTGACTGGTCACCTTAAAGAAGGTGATGGTAGTTGTCCTCGGTAGTTAACCTCATATGGATTTTTTTCCTGCATCTCTGAGGTAATTAGGACTTATCCTAATATAATTTTGGTAGCGTATCTTCCTAGCTAGTCTCACATACCAGGATTTGATAATGGGGTTTCCAACAACTTTTCAAAGTACCACTCTTTGTTTTCTGACAAACATAATAGGATGCTTTCTTCTAGTATTTATAAAGTCTTCACAGGATTCAATTTAAAAACACCCAGTAAAGACTACATTTTTTTCCCAAAAGAAAGAAAAAGAAAATAATAGTAATTTCCACAATGTCACCTCTTCAAAGGTTTTTTCACTTCTAAAGCAATATAAAGTTTTAATAAAGCCTTAATTTATTGAAAAGACATGAACACTTGAATAAATATTTGACAATTTTATCTTAAGCATTACATTTAGCAAAATATGGACATAGATGTCAGATTACCCATGTATTAACTATAAATATAAATTGAGAGTTATTATAAAATGGCAGCTCCTTGGGAGGACAATGGGGGTCCAGACTGCCTAGATTTAAATCCTGGCTCTGTAGCTTTGTAGTAGATATACTGCCTCTCTGTGCTCAGTCTCGTCATCTGTAAAATGGCATAATAATTATGATATCTATCTCACCTTGGTTTCTGAGGATTATCTGCGTTAATAGATGTAACATGCAGAAATTCAGACCACTTTGTGTTTCTTTACAAAATTGTTTAGAACATTTCATCTTGAAATAAGAACAGTCTCCCCAAGCACTATGCTTTTCCTCATATGCTGTCAATTTATTTCAGAAATGCAATTCACTACAGAAACATCAGGCCAGTTTTCTAATGGGTATTCTAAAGCTATTCTAAAAACTTTTCTTTTGAAGTTAAACATCAAAGTTAATGTTCATTCATCTTTAAAAATAGCTGGTAAATAATTAAAGATAATCTCAACATTTTAAGAACAAAATTCAAAATAATGAGAGCACAAATAGTGTTTTAATGTAGTTCAGATAGTCTCGACTGAGTGAATAAAAATTTTAAAATGATTCGAAGAGGTACTGCTTTGGATTTCGGTGACAATATCATTATGACATCAGGTTGATGTGACTTTAAAATGTAGGTACACTTTTAGCAATATCTCCCCACTGTTCAGGAAGATGCCTTATTCAAATCATAGACCCATTACAGGCTCATCTTACTCTCCTGAGGCCTTAGTCTTTTCAGAGAAGGGATTGGACTCTCCTGAGTCTGTCCCTCAGGGGCTCAATGAATCAGAAGTGGGAAATCCACGAATGCCTCATAGCGAGTGAGTTTCCCAGTGGCTCCAGTCCCCCATGCCTCTCTGCAGTGGAGGAATATTCCGTACTCAGGTCTGTCTCCTCATAAGAAAGCAGAAATTCTTGTACTCAAGGGAGATATTTCCCTACGGCTTTGGTATTAAGGATCAGCATTCCAATGGGTGTCATGGGAGGTCAGGAACCCCTCCTGGTAAACCTCTAAGAATGTCCTCTGAATGTGCATATGATAGTCTCATGTCAGTATTGTCACTCATGCCTAGCTTGTTTCCACTGCGTCACTTCATTCTCATGGTGTACATCCTTTACTGCCTCTGGCTTTCAGATAATGATATCCTGATTGTATTAAACTTTACGGAATGGCGAGAAAAACAGACACATAAAATATAAGGAGACAGCATAAAACTGGCATTAGAAAAGTGTGCCGAAGGAATGCATTGAAATGCAGGTCTGACCAAGTGAGTCCTCCACATGCAATGCTGCCAAGGCCTCTCATGGTGTAGACTAAAGTATAAATTCCTATCATACATCTCCTGTCTGCTTTTTAGTCTCATCCCTCACCATTTCTTTTAATAAGTAGTGGTATTTAATAAATACATAAGTGAATGAATGAATCTAATTATATTTCTTTCTATCCTCCTCAATCTGGCCCCATCAACTAGACTATGAGCTTCCTGAGGACAAAGATTATGAATTATCATCCATGTATCCCCAGAACATTGCCCAAAGCTGGAGACATATTAGATGTGAAATGCGTGTTTCTCGGTGGATAGCAGGGATAGAAGAGGGGAAGAGAGGGAAGGAGGGAGGAGGAGTGGAAGGGTGCCAATGACTGACAGCGGTTGTTCTGTTGCAGGATTACGCTCACTTGGGATGACGATCACTCAGTGTTATGAAGAAGTTGGCCTACTGCTTCTGTTTCTGTCTGTGGGAATTTCTATATTTTCTACTGTGGAGTACTTTGCAGAGCAAAGCATTCCTGACACAACCTTCACAAGTGTCCCTTGTGCATGGTGGTGGGCCACAACATCCATGACTACCGTGGGATATGGGGACATTAGACCAGACACCACCACAGGCAAAATCGTGGCCTTCATGTGTATATTATCGGGAATCCTTGTCTTGGCCTTGCCTATTGCTATTATTAACGACCGCTTCTCTGCTTGCTACTTCACCTTAAAGCTCAAGGAAGCAGCTGTTAGACAGCGTGAAGCTCTGAAGAAGCTTACCAAGAATATAGCCACTGACTCATATATCAGCGTTAACTTGAGAGATGTCTATGCCCGGAGTATCATGGAGATGCTTCGATTAAAAGGCAGAGAAAGAGCAAGTACTAGGAGCAGTGGAGGAGATGATTTCTGGTTTTGAATTCACTTTGATTTTATTTACAAAAGCTTGTGTAAAAGTAACTCAATTGATAAAGCCTTGATATGGATGTCTGTATACTGCTGAGGAGTCTCTTTTGAGTACTACCTGTGTTAATTTTTGCTGATACATTGCTTGGTCTGCTAGAATAGTTCACATCCCCCAAAACAACTACACATTGCTTTGACACACCTGAGCCTCAAAAATTGCCATTTAACACAACCCAATACAACTAGACCAATATACACATGTCTGAATTGTCAAATATAAGATAATATTGCAATACCTCCAACAAAGTTAAAAGTTTTATGTATCACTAATGTTAACAGATTTTTGCAGCACTAATTTTTAAAAAAATGGAAGTTAAACTGCATAGCCCAGTGAAAAGATAAGTGAACATTTAAGAACACAGTGAACAACTTTGCAATTTAAAGATATTTTCCAAGTAAATAAATCAGTCTTTTCTCCATCAGTTAGAGCTGATGAATATAACAATTGGCTTTTCAAGAGAAAATCCTGATTTGATGGTCATAGATGGTGTCCCTTTCTTCCCTCTGGTGCATACTGCTGGCTACAGATGGACTGAGCTCTGTATTCCCTCATTACTCTTGGAGGTGGGATCCTGAAAGTGCTTAGACTGCGATAGAAGAGTAATGCACAAAGACTTCGAGAATTATCCATCTTCATCCTCCCCACTGAGGGCAATATGTGGAGTACAAAGCTGATACCTCTGAGTACTCCATGGAAATTAGATGGTCTTAAAAAATCTCATTATTGATATAGTGTTCAAGTTATGTCTTTAAAATCATGAATATGTAAATGGGAGGTAGTGAACATCCAAAATTTATGCACTGAAATTATTAAATAGTCTTATTTCATAAAATGATATGTTGAATGATATCACTGGATGAACTTGAAGATCTTTTATTTGTCAACAAAAAATATTATGGATAGCTCTCTGATTGTTGGGGTAAATAGCAAATGTTCAAAGTTTGCACGCATTTGGACAGCATTTTGACAGTAGTTCATGATAATAAAATTCCTAGACATTCTGTTACATAATTAAAGCCAAGAGTTCTAAACCTAAGAATTAGTTTATGATTCCCCAAATTCTAGTAACTGTGATTTTTAAAACTAAGAATAATATGGAGTATCTCTTGGGGTCATAGTGCCCCAATAGAATGAAAATTTGTTCTTGGAGGGCAAAAATATCTCACTCTTTTTATTCATAAAACGCATATATATATGCAACACATAAACAGTTATAGAGTTTATCTATGGTATTAGAATTTCATGGGGTGGGAAATTAGAAAAAAATGCCTAAGAGGCTCCTTACCAGGGTTGGGTCATGATAAGAAAGAAACATTGAGAACCACTGCTTTAATATATGGTTAGACCATATTTCATCAATCCTATTTAAGATACCCTATTTTTGTTTCTTTTGAAGGAAATTTCTTTTTTTAAAAAAGCTGGCACCTGAGCTAACATCTATTGACAATCTTCTCTTGTTTCTTCTCCTTCTTCTTCTTCTCCCCGAAGCCCCCCAGTACATAGTTGTATATTCTAGTTGTAGGTCCTTCTGGTTGTGGCATGTGGGGCACCGCCTCAGCGTTGCCTGATGAGTGTTGCCATGTCTGCACCCAGGATCGGAACCTGCAAAACCCTGGGCCACCAAGGCAAAGCTCTCAAACTTAATCGCTCGGTCACAAGGCCAGCATCTAAGACACCCTATTAGATCATGAACAAGAGAGAAAGAAACAAAGGAAGGAAGGATGGTAGTAAGGAAGGAAGGAGTTCCGAAAGAAAGGAAGAGGAGAGAGCAGGCTATCGATTGTAAGATGCCATTGATTGCAAAATGCATCTAGATTTTGAACATGTAAAAATTTTGAATATGCTTCCTAAAATTAATGAAATATTATTTTTGCTACCTCCAGTTTTCTGGTATGCATGTTTAAGCTCTAAAAACATTTTCATTGATGGCATGAGTTTTAGATTCTATGCTAAAGTACTTTAATCCATATGGCTTGCTTCCACTTCTCCCAAATATTGTGAAAGATTTAGGAGATATAAGTAGAAATATAATAAATATTTTCCCTCTTACACAGTTCACAGGTTCTAGAGCATGGCACAGAGCCACTAGTTCTAGTATAAATCTCTCCACAGTCCAAAGGGGAAATAGAGTTAGACACAGGAGGCAAATTTACCCTAACTTTCTAGAACTCTCTCCAATAAGAATGGGTATTCTGATCCAGCACTGTGCTCTGTATTCATCATGTATTATGTCACTTTATCCTCAAAATATCCCTATTATACAATTACTATTCCTATATTCTTCTAAGTATATAGTTTATATATTTATTCATTCCACAAATATTTATTCAGGATCCATCCGTGTGCTGGGCATTAGAGATTCTTTGTTAAACCAGACTAAGTCCTAATCTCTTGTATTTAACATTCTATTTGAGGGTGTGAGGGAAGCACAGATGACAAAACTGAAGCATAAAAAGATGAGGTTTTTGTTGTTAGTGCTATTGAGTCCATTCTGACACCCAGCAACCCTATGTAAATACAGCAGACTCCAGAACCCTGCCCCATTCTCTTCTGCCATCCTCTCACTTTCTGGCGCTCTGTCAGACAGTGCTCTGCTGCTACTCATAAGGTTTTCGTCACCACTTTTTTGAGAAGGGGGTGTCCAGGTCCTTCTTACTAGTTTGTCTTATTCTAGAAGCTCTACTGAAACCTCTCCATCATGGGTTACCCTGCTGGTATTTGAAATACTGGAGGCGTAACTTTCAGCATCACAGCAACATATGGCCACCACGGTAAGACAATGGACAGACGGGTGATGCGGTTCCCAGACTAGCCACCAGAGCCGGCTAGCAAGAGGAAGTTTGGCTGAATTCACGCAGCCCAAACACAGGTGACAGAGCCAGAAATAAATCCCAATCTGCTGGACTCTGAAAAATGATACTCCGAAAAGTCAAATTATAGATTTCACTATTCTCACACAACCTGTGTAAGGGATTCACTTCCTCGGCAGGCAAGCTAATTTGTTGTGGATAGAGAGGTTTAATATGCCTTAAGAAAAATATCAGCTTATTCTCAGAGGTGGAATGGTGCTTTTAAGGAACAGTTGTTGTCAAGCCTTACGGTCATTATACCAGATAAGGAAAACATTAACTTTAGAGTAATTAATAGTTGGAAAATGAAAAAAGCTATGTGTGTTACATATATATTTTTATTTTTCCTACCACAGAAGATTCTAAACATGTTCTTCACAAATGTGGTGTGTTGTGTATAAATTTTGTTGAGATGTGGACATTTCAAAAGAAGTTTTTCAATTCCGCTGTTTAGTCAACTTTGCTGTTATGTGAAATATCAGGGTACTTAATCAACAAATGTACATATAGGCAAAACAAATTTAAGTAACAAATAAAGGCAGGAACTCTGTTAATTTTATATCCCATCATTTAAAAAATATTTGACATTTTTCACAAATCTAAGAATTCTTGCTATAAAACTGTTTAATTTATTTGGAAATATAAATAATGGAATTATCAGCTTTAAGCTATTTAGAGAACACGAATTAAAAACATTTGAGTACACAGAGCGCCCAGAAGTAATGCTTGAGTATCTGGAAGAGCAACTTTAAGAAATTACTTAGATATCTCTGGTAAAAGTGGTATCATGATCATGTTTTACTGTTTGTTTTCTATGTATACAAGGAGTTGTTGCATCCTTTTAATACAAATTAATATTAAATATAATGTATTCAATGCACAAAGAAATTAACTGAGGTAGAAATCTCAGAGCTGTGTTTCCTTGTGGAATTCTTACTCTCATTAAAATCTTTTGACTAGCTCTTGCAGAAAATATATATGCTTGCCCAAGTTATCTGAGCAAAACATTATCATTGGGTAAGCGTACTGCTTTGACAAACATTTCCAGTGATACATTTTGTTAACATGAAAAGCCTACTCTTTTGAAATATTAGCCTTGAATATTTCTGTCTTATCAGTCCTTCAGTTCAGGTCCAAGAAGATATTGTTTGGCAAATGATGTGCTCTAATGCTTCCCTGGGTGATTTTCCTTTGCAAAGCGCCCCCACTCCCAAATGTCTCGCCAAGCCATATTGATATATGGAAGAAAAATGTCACAAAGAGAAAGCTTTCCTGATATAGTCCACTGGAAAGTGCTTACATAGTACATCTTTAGAGGTAGTGGGATAACCTGGGTACTCACTGTCTTCATGTCTTCACTCACCTTATATTAAAATCACTCCCTTGCTTACCCCCTCAACTCCATTGCCTCTCTCTTCCTTCCTGGTATTCAACTGGTAAAACCCAATTAATTAAATCCAATCCAGTGCCTACTTGTGCCTGCCCCTGGAGAGCTGGTCATGATTACAGAAAAAAACAATGTATGCTAACTGCTCTCGTTTTACATTTATGCCTACCAGCCCAAATGGGACGTACGGCTGCTAAGCAATCATTCTGCACTCCTGAATTTATTCCCTCTCTCTAGATAAATATAAACCTCTAACACCTCCTTTGATTCCACTTTCACTCAGAAAATAGAATCAGAAGAGATATTCCAAGGGCCGGCACCCACATTTATCCGCCTACCTCCATCTGTTCCTATTCATTCTGCCTTTCCTCCTATTACAAGGGTTGAACTATCCACACTATCCCTTCTCTCCAACTCTAGGACATTGCTTCAGAAAGTCTCTCTCCTCTCCCCACTGTACTATCACCTTTTCCCTTCCCTACTGGATCATTCCATTCAGCACAAAAACATGATTTAATTTTTCCAATCTTAAAAACAAAAACAAAAACAAAAGCAAGCAAACAAACAAAAAACTCTTTGAATCTACTCTGTCCTCTAAGAAACACCCCATTCCCTGTTCTCCTTTATGGCAAAACTCCTTGACAGCATTTTCTATACTTACTCTCTCCATTTCTATATTCACTTTTTTTCTCCTATTCTTCTCTAAAAATCCACTCAAGTCAGTCTCTCACGCCTACATCTCCTCGAAAACTTTTCTTCTGCAGGTCAGTAATTACCCCGTCATTGCTAAATCCAACTGTCAATTCTCAGACTTCATATTGCTTGATCCATAATTAACCACAAGGTTAATTATAGACTTCCTTGAAATACTTTCTTCACTTGACTTCTAGCCCACTTTCTTGACTCCCTCCATCCCATTGTTCAGTCATCTTTTCTGTTTGAGGTGGTCAATCAGGACTTAATCCTGAGTTCTCATCTCTCTATTTACATTGCTCCCTTGGTAAACTCATCCTGTTCCATGGCTTAAATACCACTGACGCTTGGTCAAGTCCCAAATTCCTATCTCCCCTCTCTCTTCCTACATCATCAGATTTGTGTACATAACTACGTATTCAATATCTACACCTGGATGTCCAATAAATATCTCATGATTAGCGCATCCAATACTAAATTATTGATATTTCCCCCAAACTCCATATTAGTTCAAGCCCTCTGAGAAGCAAATGGCAAGACAGTTGATTATCGTAATATCTATGATGTGCAAGAAATTTAGTCGGGGGAGAAAAGGCCTGTGAGGGATAAAGAGGAGCAATCTAGAGAAGGTGGGAAGAACCTTCAGACCATGGTGCGGATCTGACACCTGTGAAGAAGAGGGAGAGAGGAGGATTGGGTAAAGAGGATCTCTGATAGCAGCCCAGTTCTAAGAAAATTTCATCCAGGTTGATGGATAGTCCTGAGCAAATGTAGCCCATTAAAGAGTCTCACCTCTTTTAGAAATGGGACTGCATTAATACCTCAGAGGGCACCAGCTTGTGCTGTCAGTCAATCATGCTTCCTTCAGGAGGAGATCCGAGCAGTGCATTTTCATGGCAACCACAGTCAAGCCTTGGAACTGCATGGATCTGCTTCGGCATGCATGTTCAGAAGTAGCCCCTCCGTGGATCCCAAGGTCCTCTCTTTCTGAGGAGCAACTTAGAAAAGAAAGTTGGTGGATGAACTAGAGCATTCGTTGTTCCAATTGGTCTTGAAATAGGAGCTAGTAGTCATCCTCTCCC